CTTATGTCCGGCTTTCCCTCGGCCGCCGCAGTAGCACCACGTGCCAGGCCAGTAGTGCTACCTGCTGAGTGACCATTTGACCCGCCGTATGGACGTCGTTATTCTCCTAGGCCGTTGCGCTCTAGCGATTTTCAGTTCGTGACAGTAGGAACTTTAATGCGTATAGATGTTATGTCTTATTTACGCCGCACTATTACCGATAATCGTGAACATCTTAAGCAAATCCTTTCAAAACCTTACTGAATAATGCTTCTGGTAGTAAACAGCATGATAATATAACCATTATAGGTCGTTCAAAAATACTAGAGATTGACTAAAGTGAGGCACTTCGAAGCTTTTATATGAGCGCTTTATTAACATTTCAAGAAAATGTGTGGTAAATAGTTAGTTTTCTTTCAAAAAATATATGCCGTATTTTTATTTATTCCATCTTCTTTCCATTTATCGCTTAATTACATATCTTACAAACATAATTTGTATTGCTTTATTGGGTTGTTAATTCATATTTATTCACTATGCTAATATTTTTTAGCTCACCATATTTTATGTTATTTTTAGCATATGGAAACAGACATGAAATATAATAACAAATAATACAAATGCTCAAAAAAATGCTAGGGTGGACATTATGGCGGTTGCAAATTTTTAAGACACGGGGTACATTTATTTATCAGCTATCATACTGTTTTTTAGGGTATACGACTTAATTTGGGGGGGGGGGGGGGGGGGGGGGGGGGGGGGGGTCTTATATTTGTAACCTAAAACAGCCTTCGTGCGCAGATTTCGCGCGAGCGGCGCGTCAGATCTGTGTCAGAATTCAAGTCTGACACAAGAAAGTGTCAGAATTCGAGTCTAACACAAAAGGCCTGTCAGAATTCGATTTTTTGCCAATAAAAGATGACTAATAATAACAATAACAACTAAAATATATAGAAAAGGGGGTCTTATGATGATTAGGGGCAAAGAGGGGGTCCTCACAAAACCTGCCACAATAAGAGTCCCCCTACCCATTTAAGAGTCCCGGGGGACCCTCTTACCAGCGGGTCCTATAGAAGAACAAAGAACAAAGAACAAAGAACACCAACTTAAACTGCATAACCTCTGGTATACAAAGGACGTGTAGGAGGAGCAGCCACCAAGCGGGCGGTGTAGTCAAGGTAGCGGGTGGCGACAAAGTCACTGACAGCGGCGATTTCATTTGACTTTGTCAATCATGACCAGTTCACGACATGATATGACAACATCACGAACCGCCAACGCTTCCCCAGACACTGCTCACATGTCCCGTATGTCGCGATAATGTGAGAGGATCCAGGCTTCACTTCGAGTCAAGTATGAATTCCTGGTACACGCTATGGGTCTATATATAGGCACGTACGAGGCAGGTAACTAGGATGCAACTAGGTTATGGAATCGGCAAAATATGTCCTTTTCGAACTTATGAACGTTTTGTGCTACGATACGTGATATAAATCGAGATGGTTCTATAAACGATGCATATACAACCTATTCAACACATTGGAAAGCAAAGTGGTCAAATACGAAAAGTAGTGTATGAAACAAAACGGGGAATAAAAATAAGAGAAAAATGGGTGTGACGAATGAAACACTCTTAGATGTTGGCCCCCTCAAAGCTGGGTGGAATAAGAGGTATCCTACTTCACAATATAATACTTGATAGCACATCGTGCGTTCTCCATGTCAACTTCTATCACCCAACTTGATAATAACCCTCTTAGCGTATTCAGAGCTTGAGCGTGTCGTGCCATCGGCAACGGTGCGCGAGAATACGCTTCACTTCATGATCTGGTCATCCCGCACAAGAACTTGGGGCGACTATGGCAGCTAGCATCCTTGGTAGTGTTGATTCGGGTCCTTAGAGGGCTTTAGGAGTTGTACATGGAAAGCGTTGTGAATCTTCCATGTATCCAGTAAACACTTCAACACAGAAAGGACCACAAAAATACGGACGTAGCTTGGACAACACATGGGAAAGTTAAGTTACAATTGTCCAGAACATCTTGGACTCCGACTACAATCGTGTGGTCGTGTCAATGGCGATCATATAGCTGTTTCTGGGAATTATGGATTTTGGTGAGTGCAGAGAGAAAATATACAACGGGATCTAGACTACGGGGGGAAGGCACGGTTGTTTGAGTGATCATAGCGTTCCTTAGTCGTTTGCTTGTGTTCTCTCTACGCACACATTCACGGGAGGTATTGGCAAGATTTTCTTTAGCAAAAGCTCACAACAATGGTTGACAAAGGCAAAGCAACACTGACTACATCAGAAGCTAGCAAGCAAGCAGATCGACCTCCAGCGCAGCACGGTCGACCGCGTTCCAGTGCAGCAAAGACCCCACCTCTCTAGCGCTGCAAAGATGCGGCTTGCCAACGTTGCAAGTCGACGGCGTGCCAACGCTACAGCAGGGCGGCTGTTGAGCATTGCACCTTCATGACAGCAGCGCACCCGCTTCGCAGGTGTTCGCATTTGATTGGCGCGCTGTGCCCCGTCACGTGCACAACATAGATGCCAATCTCACCACGTGCCAACGACTACGCTTGATCAGCCACGTCGACCTCGGGATACCACCTCCGAGGTCGGCTTCGCCAGAACCACCTGGGCGATTATCGCGCACCTCCGCAGATCCCCGTCGCCAAGGTAACTTGGTCAACCGGGCACCCACGTCGACCAAGTGCTGCTCCTTCTGCCCGTCGACCTCCCAGGTCGACGACCACCCTTTGCCGACTTCACGAAGTCGGCCACTACCCCATGCCAACCATTTATGGTCGTCCAGGTTGGCTGATCTCGACTGCCCCTAACCGGCTTCCCCAGATGCGCGCCACCAATTCCGCGCCCTCCCAGGCCGACGCCATCAAGTCGGCCTCCCGAAGTTGGCGCCCTCCCAAGTCGGCGTCCCGCCAGGTCGACGAGCCCTGTCGTCAACCACTAGTAGAAGTCGGTCGCCGGCCTCCCGTCGTCGGCGGCTTCAAAATGGCCTCGTGCAGGTCGACCCAAGTCCGTCGACCTATGCACCGAAGTCGGCGTCGCCCACTGCAATCGGTCGGCTGCACCTCCCGGTCACTCGACCACGAAATCAGCTCTGCCCAAGCAAGGATGGGGCCAATGCCCAACTCCCATTGACACTCCCCTGTCACGTTTACGCCACGGAGCAGCTACAAACTGCTCTGACTACAGTGCCAGTACTTATCCTACCGGATCCAGACAGAGAGTATGTCGTGGAAGCAGACGCTAGTGACCAGGCAGTCGGAGCAGTACTGATGCAGGATCACGGACGCGGTTTGCAGCCCATCGCCTACCTCAGTAAGAAGCTACACGGAGCAGAACTGAATTACCCAATCCATGACAAGGAAGCCTTAGCGATAGTCACAACCTTCAAGGCGTGGAGGTGTTACCTAGAGGGAGCCAAGACTACAGTCTACACTGACCCCTGTAGCCTCAAATACCTCAAGTCGCAGCCTTTGCTCTCACGATGACAGGTGGGGTGGATGGACTTCCTAGAAACTTGTCGGAAAATAGAACGAGAATGATGCATTGAGAACAGATCTGGATACAAGTATTAACCCTAATTGGGTTGTTCCCCTAATTGGGTTGTTCCACTACAACCTACATAACATAAGCATCGTTATAGTTTGACACACCCCTTGGGCAGTGTGGGGGAGAAACAATGGTCACAAGACCAGTCAAGAAAAGCAAAGCAAGCTTAGGGTGGATCACGAAGTCACCTCACATTCTGAGCACATGCAAATGGCCATAAGGCCAGTTCACAAGTAAATTTAAATTAAAGAAAGCAAAAAGTACAGTGATCATAACCTAGCAAGAGTAAGCATGCAGGTATATGTAGATTAGAGTACAAGCAAATTCACGTAGTGAACAAGTGAGACAAAGTAGGTACAAGGCCTAAAGCAGTACAGAAACGCTGATGATCACTAGGCGAAAGTGCCTTGGTGAATATATCAGCAATGTTGGCCCGAGTGGCCACGTAAGCAAGACAAAGCTGACCACGCTGCTGCAACTCTCGAGCAAAGAAGTAACGTAGGGTTTAGGGTTTAGTCACTTGGTTGAATTACCCTAAACCCTAAACCGGACGCATTCCTATAAGCAGCCATGGCTCCTGCGTAGATCTCAGCCTCACAACTGGAGCTAAGAACAGAAGACGAGCAGGTAGACCGCCAAGAAACAGAGCCAGAGCCAAGGCTGAAGGTGTAACCCTGTGACAACCGCTGCGTAGCCAGGTCGTCAACCCAAGAGGCGTCTGAGTGTCCAGTGAGGACAACTGGACCCTGTCCTCCAAGCACGAGCCCCATGCCTGATGTACTGCACAGGTAGCGCAACACCCTCTTAGCGTGCCAGGATGCTAAGAGGGTACGCAAGGTCAGGTCGAGTGCAGGTCATCACGTACATGAGACAGCCCAAAAGCACTGGATACGGGCCACTCGGCTCTAGGTGGATCAGAGAACGACTGACCGGTAGGCAGAGGAGTGGACTGTGGCGAGGAGAACTGGAAGCCGAAGCACTGAAGGATCAGGTGCACCATGTGTGACTGAGTCAGGGTGATGGTGCGGCGTGCTCTATCCCGAGTGATCTGAAAGCCAAGATAGCTACGTGGCTCACCCAGGTCTGTGCACGTGTGTCTCTTCTGCAGCTCCGACTTCACAAGGGCCAGTGCCTCAGTGTCAGCACGTGTGTCGACGTACACGAGGATGTAGAACGGTGGCAGCGAAGTGTCGGTGCGCAGAAACAGCGACGGGTCAGCAGTCGAAGGAGCAAACCCGAGAGCCGCAAGTGTCGTCCTCAGTGTGTCGTGCCACTCATGAGGCGCCTGGCGGAGACCGTAGACTGGCCGGCGGAGGCTCCACTGGGTACCTGCAGGAAACGACCCAGTGAAGCCAGGTGGGTGGCGCAGCCAGATCTCCTCGTGCAGGCTGCCCTGTAAGAAAGTTGTGCTGAAGTCAAGAGAGTGAAGCTCATAGTCATGATGAGCGGCAAAGTGCAGCAGCACCCAAGGAGTGGTCATCTTCGGGGTGGGGGAGAAGGTCTGGAAGAAGTCAACTCCCTATCGCTGATTGAAGCCTCGTGCAACGTAACGAGCCTTGAAGACAGGCGGAGAACCCGGCGGCCGCTTCACCCTGAAAATCCACATGCCATCGACTATGTTCGATACAGGAGGGGGAACTGCGTCAACGTAAGTGCCTGTGGATTTCCAGGATGCCATCTCTACGCCCACGGCTGTCTGCCACTAAGAGGAGTAGGGACCCGTAATCGAGAGCGCGGGGTCGGGATGTCCAGTGCATCCAGGTCTCCCTCAGGTGCAAGCAGCATGGCCACGAGATGAGGTACAGCAGCCGCAAGACACTCAAAGTCCTCCTGCCTGTCCTCAAGGACGTCCGTGCTAAGAGCACACTCACCCCCGACGGACGGAGGACATACAGACTCAGACTCAGCAACAAGACTAGTGGCGTAGTCTAGACGACACGCAGCAGCAAAGTCCACAAGCTCAGCAACTAAGGCAGACGCAGCAGTGGACTCAAAAGAAGGGTCAGTGACAACAGTAGCTAGGAGACGCGTGACAGTGGGACTAGCAGCACGAACACGGTCAGACTCTGGGTCCGGAACGTCTGGAAATGAGGATGCCGGAGAAGACGGTAGGGCAACACGCTGTGGAACAGAGGAAGGACAAAGTGCCATAGTGTGAGTACCAAGCACAGGGAGATGACGCGGACGAGGGACACGACGACCAGTGCGAGCAGGCGTGACAGGATGAGACACAGGCTCACGTCGCTCGGTAAGGGAGGCCAGGTGCTCAGTGTAACGAGGGAGGGGAGGCAGCGGTGAGTCTGGAGGAGAGGCAGTGGACGAAGGAAGACTAAGAACCTGACGGAGCGCCAAGTCGGGCAGTAGCGGCGAGAGCTTCGGCGGCGGCAAGAAAAACGGTCGCTGCTACACAGTGCCCCCAGCACCAGTACCTCCAGCTCCAGGGCCTCAAGCGCCAGCAACGCCAGCTCCAGCGGCTCCAGCTCCAGCGCCCAAAGCTCCAGCACCTCCAGCTCTAGCGCCTCCAGCTCCAGCGCCTCCAGCTCCAGCGCCTCCAGCTCCAGCACCTCCAGCTCCAGCGCCTCCAGCTCCAGCACCTCCAGCTCAAGCACATCCAGCTCTAGCGCCTCCAGCTCCAGCGCCTCCAGCTCCAGCACCTCTAGCTCCAGCGCCTCCAGGTTCAGCGCCTCCAGCTCCAGCGCCTCCAGCTCCAGTGCCTCCAGCTCCAGTGCCTCCAGCGTCAGTGCCGCCAGCGCCAGCGCCTCCAGCGACAGGGCCTCCAGGGTTTAAACCATAAACCCTAAACCCCCAGACTCAGCACCCCCAGGCTCCGCACCCGCAGGCTCAGCACCCCTAGGCTCAGCACCCCCAGGCTCCACACCCGCAGGCTCAGCACCCCCAGGCTCCGCACCCGCAGGCTCAACACCCCCAGGCTCCACACCCGCATGCTCAGCACTCCAAGATGCAGCACCCCGAGCAGCACCACCCCCAGCAGCACCAGAGTCGCCTGTGACCTCGACAGGCTCAGCCAAGGGAAGTGGGTCTACCTGAGACACACCTGAAGGAGCAGGACCCTGAGGGGGGAGGGGGTCTACCGGAGGGGGACCTGGAGCGAGGAAGAGCGGCAGGTGGGGGGTGGGAGAGGGGCAGTGCGGTAGGGGAAGAGACGGTAGAAGGGAACCGACTCGTCAAACGTGACGTCCTGAGAGGACAGAACACGGCGCGTGGTGGGGTGGTAAAACTGCCAGCCAGGCGCGTCAGGGGGGAAGCCAAGGAAGACACAGGGAATGGCGCGGGAGGAGAGCTTGTCCGCGGAGGTATCGCGGACAAAGGCACGAGCACCCCAGACCCGAAACACCGACGCATCGCCAACCTCCCCCGTCCCGCAAGAGGTCGGAGGAGAACTCACCACCCCTGTCAGAGTGCAGACGTAGGACAGGAAGGTCCGTGCGGAACCGCTCGCGGAGCTGGAGACGGACAGCGCGGATCCAAGGGATCAAGACATCAGGGACCTCCCCCTTGCTGTGCAAGGGGAAGACCATGGTGTAACGCGAGTAGTCGTCAACAACCAGCAGAAAGTACCGCTCCTGGTCCTGTCCACTCGCCTTTAAGCGCGGCGCGGTAGCGAGTGTCGCTAGTGCGAAGGTGGGTGATGAGGTCATCGACTGTGGCAAAGGCGGACAACTTGGGAAAAAGGTAGGGCAGTATAAGGCGGCCGAGAGCAGCAGTGGCAGGGGAGGAGTAACGAGCGACTACAGCGTCAAACATGACTTTAGCAGTCTTGTGCTGGCCAAAGTGAGCGCGTTCGGCTAACGGCAGGTGGTTGCGAACGGCGAGGCGAGCAGTAGCGTCACGGGTAAGCCACTGTGAGCGAGATGCACTGTCAGTAGTGTCGGGGGGAGCGAGAGAGGCTCCAGACGTGTGGTCAAACAACGAGACGCTGTCTTTAGAATCGCTCAGTAGGTACAGCTGTAAGTCGTCCAGCCATATATCAAACTGGATCGGACGGCCCTCAGGATCGAAGGTGAGAACGCTGAGGGTAGCCATAGCTAGCAGAGCAGGGTGGCGCATAACTTGGAGGGCAGCATGCAGGCAACAGGACGGTGCTACGAACAGGGCGGCGTGTGTGAACTAGGAAGGCGCACAGGGCAGGGCAGGGCAGCACATGGTCACGGAAGGGCGGCGCATAGGGCAGGGAAGGGCAGCGCGTCAGCCTGCAGGGTGGCGCGCGGGCAGGAAAGGGCGGCGCGCGGCTAGCAGGGCAACGCGCGGGCAGGAAAGGGCGGCACGGCAGGCTGCAGGGCTGCGTGCGGGCAGGGCAGGGCGGCGTGCGGGCAGGAAAGGGCAGCGCGTGGGCAGAAAGGGGCGACGCGCGGGCCGTAGGGTGATGCGATGGGCAGGGTAGGGCGTGCACGGGCGGCGCGACGCAGGGCAGGGCGTGCGCGGGGCGGCGCGACGCAGGGCAGGGCACGCGCTGGCGGCGCGACGCAAGGCAGGACGTGTGCGGGCAGCGCGACGCACGGCAAGGCGCGCGTGGTCAGCGCGACACAGGGCAGGGCAAGGCGTCCGCGGGCAGCGCAACGCAGGGCAGTGCAGGGCGGACGCGGGGCGCGCAACGCAAGACAGGACGTGCGCGGGGCGGCGCGATGCAAGGAAGGGCGTGCGCGGGGCGGAGCAACGCAGGGCAGGGAAGGCATGCGCGGGTGGCGCTACGCAGGGCAAGGCAGGGCAGCACGATTGGTGGGGCAGCGCGGCAGGCAGTACTATTTGGTGGGCCCAAAATGGCAACAGACGGGAATAGCTAATATTACTATTGGCCCTGGATGGCAACAGACGTGCGGCAATTCGTCACCTCATGCGACACGTGCCAGCGGATGAAGAGTAGCAAGCAGAAGAAAGCAGGGTTACTTCAACCTCTACCCGTATTGGAGCAGCCATGGTAAGTCGTTAACCTCGACTTCATGATGGGGCTTCCTTCGACCTCACGAGGGCATGACGCTATACTCGTGGTGATCGACAATTTCTCTAAAACGGGACACTTCATCTCGACCAACGCCGTGGCTACAGCTGAAGCAACTGCTCGCCTCTTCTTCGACTGCATCATCACCATCCACGGCATCCCTGCTACACTCATCTCAGACAGAAACCCCAACTTCACTAGTAACTTCTAGAGAGAACTCTTGGGTTTGTTGGGGACAAAGCTTGCGATGTCTTCAGCGTACCACTCCCAGGTTGACGCACAGACCGAGCGACTCAATCAGGTGGTTGAACTGTTACTTCGTATAGCTTACAAAGACAACATCAGCCACTAAGATCTACAGTTATCGACGCTTGAGTTCGCTTACAACGACGCTTCACATGCGGCCACTGGGATATCACCTTTCTTCCTGTGCTACGGACGGGAACCACTTACACCACAGCAGCCAACCACACTGGCACACGTCCAAGCTGCACACGACTTCGTCACCACCATGTAACAGGAAACTATGGGAGAAGACTCAGCGACGTCTCACCACGATGCAGAACTCCCAGAAGCAGTATGCCGATCGACAGCGACGAGATCACTCGGTAGCAGTCGGAGATCAGGTGCTTCTCGACACAAGCAACTTGGACTTGTCCCACCTTCCGTCCAAGCTTCGGCCTCGCTTCTGTGGTCCCTTTCGCAAAGAGTCAATGGTGACACCAGTTACATTCCGCTTGCGCTTACCTACCACGTGGAAGCTTCACAATGCTTTCCATGTTCAGCTGCTGAAGCCCTACAAGGACCCCAACCAACAGTTCCAGGGACGGCAGCTACCACCGCCACCACCTGTTCTTGTACAGGATGAACCAGCGTACGAGGTGGAACGCGTGCTCGCTCATCGACACAGACACGGCAATACGTTGGAAGGGATACGACCCGTCGGAGGACAGTTGGGTTGCAGAAGCTGATATGTCAACGCACGCTTTGCTCTCAAGGATTATCTTGTCAAGCAGGGTGTATCTCACGCCACCCAGCTTTGAGGGGGGGACATGTGAGAGTACGACGACTTTGCTGGACTTGCTTGATTCTACTTTATTAACCATTGTCTTCCTTAACTTTGTTTTATCTTGCATGTTTTTGCTTGATTTTCTTGGTTCATTACTTTTACTTTAGTTATTATAGTTACAGGCACCGAACTAGGTGGAGTGCACCGAATTCTGGGTTTTTTTGTTGCCATCAAATCGCCTTCTGCCGAATTCGGAAAGGACCCGTTCGGGACACTTCGCGACCCGCGGAACCTTCTAGTAACACATGGGTTACTGCATTTGTTTTGAGCCTATATATAGCCTCGTGCTTTACCCAGATGATCAATCAATCACTTCTGAACTTGTTCCTTCGATCCTCACAGCTGGAACCTCGCAAGGCGACGTCGGTGGATGTCGAAGCAGTGTGACGCCGGCATCGGCGACCCACGAGACAGCGAGCGGGATAGCGCCGGCCAACGTATGGCTACTTCAAGTTTTCGCCGGACAAGGTCGCCGTCCCCATGCCGCTGGTCGGTTGCCATGACCTCACCACGTGGAAGGAGTCCATCGAGCCCCAGCTGGAGATCGCCAGATTGAGGTGCTCGACAGTTGCTGCTCGCACCACCTGATTGGGACGAAGGAGGAGTTCATCGACTTGGGGCCAAGCGGCAACGTCAAGCATTTATGCAACTTTAATGGGGCGCTGCAGACCGTCCAAGGACGCATCACCGTCGCTCTGCAAGGGGAGGTTGGGAAGCAGGTGCTCATCTCTGACGTCCTCTTTGTCCCGCGCGTGCAGGCAAACCTGCTATCGACTGCAGGATGACTGAGTCGAAATGTTGCTTGTCTTGGCAGCGGGGGACGTGCTCGGTCGGGCGAAGTATACAGGCCAAGTCCTCTGCACCGACCTGCGACCCTGCACGCTGACGCCGGCGACTACTTCGACAGGGACGGCGGCCCTGTAAATGATTGCTACGACGACAAAATCGACCACAGACAGGTTGCACATGAGGCTCGCGCATGTCGGCGTCGACACAATAGCTCGGCAAAGCACGAGGTCTCCACCAGCCTGGACATCAAGCCGTCGGCCGGCGCCGACTCATCGTGTGTATCGTGCGCGGCATACCTTCCCCGACAAAGGGTCGAACGCCGACGACGCCCTGGCTGTTGTGCACATCGACTTGTGCATGCCGTTACGTGTGGCCGCCAAGGATGGCAGCCTGTAATTCTTGCTGCAGCAGGACCGCAAGACCCGCTACGTGTGGGTGAGGCCGGTCGCCAAGAAGTCCAACGTGCTTCGGGAGTTTGAGAAATGGCGGCTGGTGGCTGAGTGGCAGACGAAAAAGACTGTAGTTATGCTCCGCTCCGACCGGGGAGGGGAGTTCCTCGGGAAGGACTTCACTGCCTTCGTCTATGGCAAAGGCATCGTTCACGACCTAACCTGCCCATACACTCCGCAACAAAATGGCATGGCGGAGCGGGAGATGAGGACGGTGGTGGAGTCCGTGCGGACGATGCTGCTGCACATGGGAGTGCAGCACCACTGGTGGCACCTCGCCCTGCGGCAGGCCGTGTGGGTGTGCAACTGCTTGGAAAGGTCGACGCTGCTGCCAGGGACGACGCCGCACCATTTGCTGATCGGCAAGAAGCCCGACTTAACGATAGCATGCGTGTGGGGCTGCATGGTGCAGTTCATGGTCCCCGAGCAGCAGCGCGGTGGGAAGCTGGCTCCGAAGGCAAGGTGGGGAATTCACCTTAGCGAGTCGGAGAAGAGCAAGGGCTGAGAGGTCGTGGACCTCACC